TGCATTGTATGAAGTAAATTTTTTATGAAGTACATTACTTCATTTAATATCCAAATGCCTTTAAACGGTAATGTGTTCAGATACATCATACTATTCTCTTTATTTTAAAAATGTGTCCTTTTAAAAGAGGAAATACATTTGCCTGAATAGTTACCTCTTTTATTCCATCAATATTCATATTAATCTTCAAGTTCCCTTTCATGTGATAAGCTATTTTTACTTCTTAAATAAGGTTAGAAGGTCTGTGTGGATTATAAACCGATTACTTATATATCGTTTGGCCTTATGAATCGGGAACGTTTTCTTGTACCAGAAAAGCCTGTTCAGCTGTGAGTTACTGTAAAGTTTTTGCAGATGGTTTTACCCTGGACAACTTCTAATTCTAGTTTATCCTCAAAACTAGGGTGACCGCCCCCCGGGCCCAGCGGGCACCACGGGGCAGCGAGGGATCGTGGGCATGCCGGGCCAGCGCGGGGAGCGAGGCATGCCCGGCCTGCCGGGCCCCGCGGTGAGGCGCTACGCAGTCGGTGTTTTCTCTGATTCTGTGCAATATAATTTGTATACATTTTTGCTGAATAGGTTTAAAGTCTTTTTTAGATACACACTCTGAGTATCTTCAAAAACTTTTGACTTACATGTGAAATTCTTTGTCTAAGTGCTTTACAAAGTCTTTGAAAAGTGTATTTATTTGACCTCGGGGCTAGTGAAGTAAACAAATGCGGATGTGGATTTGGGGTGACTCTAAACCTTTCTTCAAATATTTAAACTCTCTGAGGAGCTGGCAAAGGGGTCTCCTGGTGAGTAGGTAGCCTCTCCTTAAATAAACAGCGGACAGAAACACCCACAGTCCACAGTCCAGAGCCGCTCTCATGAACCAGCAAGGCGAGGAAGGAGTTGGGCTAAAGTGATATTGGCCATGACAGTGGGGAGAACTCAGAAGAAAGCCTCTGAAAGTGATCCCTATTCCTGGGGGAGGTGCGGGGGGGGGGTGTACGAATCTCATATTCGCTGGAGTGTGGACAAAAGCCTGGCTCACTATTAGCTTTGAAGACGTGAAAGTTTGCCCCTCAGAGTTTATATACGTGAGAAAAAATAGGTGATGTTTTTATGTGGAGTGTTGTTGGCGGAGAAAGGAGCTGCCGGGCCTTGGGACTGGGCACATGTGGGTGGAGATCTGAGACCAGCGCACAAGGAGAAAGGAATGCTTTTATCAGATGTGAGCCAGACACCCGGGAGTAACATCGCCCAACAGGAAGACAGGGCGTAAAAATAAAGTGAGCAGACAGCGCAGAAGTAACTCGGAACGGGCATTTTTTAAAAAAAAATATATATTTGTATTGATTTCAGAGAGAGGAAGGGAGAGGGAGAGAGACATAGAAACATCAATGATGAGAGAGAATCATTGATCGGTTGCCTCCTGCATGTCCCCCACCGGGGATGGAGGCTGCAACCCACGCATCTGCCCTTGACTGGAATTGAACCTGGGACCCTTCAGTCTGCAGGCTGGCATTCTATCCACTGAGCCACGCCAGCCAGGGCTTTTGTTTGTTTTGTTTTAATTGATTTCAGAGAGGCAGGGAGAGGGAGAGAGAAATAGAAACATCAATGATGAGCATCATTGATTGGCTGTCTCCTGTGTGTACCCCACTGGGGATCGAGCCCACACCCAGCCACGTGCCCTGACTGGGAATCGAACCGTGACCTGGTTCATAGGTCAACACTCAACCACTGAGCCACACTGGCCGGGCTGGATGCATGCAGCCTTTATGTGAACTGGCATCCTTACATTTCTGTGGAAGTGGGTGACATATCTATACCCTATTCCAGGGCACACCAGGAAAAGTGGGCGCGACGGGTGCCACCGGAGACAAAGGGCCCCCTGGGCCCGTGGGCCCCCCAGGCTCAAACGGCCCTGTCGGGGAGCCAGGACCTGAGGTGAGAACCGAGAAAGTGGCTGTTGTCGGTGTCATGGGATGGGGACAGCTTTTTCACTCAGATGTCGATCTAGAAATCATGTGTGCGTTTTGCCTGGAGGCAGTTTCTGAGTGATGGTATGTTAGGTGCTCGGCTGCCTGGAGGGTTGACAAAGGGATGACATGCAGCATCCTAGCAGGGTGAGGGCTCTGCGCTGACCTCCTCTCCTCTGGAACCAAGCCTCTTAGTTGGTTTAGGTTGTTGCCAAATTGTTTTGAACGTAAAAGGACACATTCATCCATCCTTCCCCTGTTATGTTTCATTGTGTTAGTAGCTTATTTGTCACAACTGCCACTTTCCACAGCGATGGGATTAATATAACTGCTCAGCTTGTGACAGGACCGAGTGGAGAGAACTTTCCGAACGACCACTGTAGAGTGATGTCACTGATACCATGGCCCCGGGGCTTTGAGAGGGAGCCAGGCTTTGAAAGCAGGTGTGAGAACTACGGGCGGAACCTGCTGCATTCGGTGCTGTGATGAGCAAATCACAAACAGCCAGTGCCTTTCAGAGCAAAGTTTTTCATCAAATGGTAGAAACATTATTCTGAAAAAAAATTAAAAAATAAGGAGAGAAAACTATCTATTTTTAAAAGTAATTTGATAGTCTAAATATTTTACTTAAGAACTTGACGGATATTTTTTTGGACAAGCTTAAGAACTAAAAGTAAGGAAGACCATTCATTGGTAATACAAAGTAAACAAAATATCAAGAATTTAATTTATCGTATATGTATTTCAAAGGATTTGAGAATATTTCCCTTCATTAGAATAAAAAGATAGAAATGGAGAATTTAGATTAATTAAAAATATGTTGATTTTTCAAGCAATTCAAAGTGACGGAGAAGATGGCTCAGCTTTCCCCTTGCTGGGGGTTCCGTAAACGCTGTCGCAGGTGCTGGCAGGGCAGTCGGTGTGGCCGCTGTAACGTGTCTGGCAGCTGGAGTGAGATTTTTTATTGCCAGTTAATCCCTTTCAATGTGATCTGTCATAGGGCCCGGCGGGCAACGACGGCACTCCAGGCCGGGACGGCGCTGTTGGAGAGCGGGTGAGGCCAGGTCACCGACCGCGGAGCCATGGGGATGTGCAGCCTTGGTGACACTAGAAAGGGAAACAGCGCCCTGACTGTCCCGATAGAAGCAGCCTGCTTTGTAACGTTAGAACTTGGTAGATTTTAAGAGGAGGAGAGCAAAGTGCTTTCATGTTTGGTGCAACACGAGGGCATCGGACGAGGCTCCTATGCAGTCGTCTAGATTTCAAACTCACTCGCGGGAGTGGGAGCTGTGGGACATCTGCATTCCCCACGCACCCCCCAAAGGGATGTCCCGCAAAGACAGAAGCTGCGTGGCTCTCTGGGAATTGTTGGTGCCTAGTATTTCCTGACGTGGTTCTAGATCAGACAGGCACTGACTGAGCCAGACACATCCCAGCTTTCCCAGGGGCTCCAGTCCTGACGGGTGGCCGCACAGCTGTGTGGGACCCGCTGCATGGGAGGCAAGCATAGCCCTCCTAAGCCTATCATGGCGTCACGGCTCTTCCCACCCCAAGGCCCGTCCTGGAGCAGAGCAGGCTGGAAAGCCAGGCAGACTTGGTTGGCATCTTTTTTTTTTTTAATAAGTTTTTTTTAAATATATTTTATTGATTTTTTACAGAGAGGAAGGGAGAGAGATAGAGAGTTAGAAACTTCGATGAGAGTGAAACATCAATCAGCTGCCTCCTGCTCATCTCCCACTGGGGATATGCCCGCAACCAAGGTACATGCCCTTGACCGGAATCGAACCCGGGACCCTTCAGTCCGCAGGCCGACGCTCCATCCACTGAGCCAAACCGGTTTCGGCATGGTTGGCATCTTGACCTCTGAATTAACCAGCTATGTGGTCTGGAACACAGTTTCTGAGCCTCGGTTTTCAAAGACTCTGAATATGATGGATACTCTGATGGGCATTTGTGTTTTAAATCCCGCGTTGAGTATCTATCCAGGAGGCTGATGTAAAGAGGAAGAAAGAGTTTTGGCGAATTTTGGGGTCCCCCCATCTGCATAAAGGCAGGGAATGTAAATTTCCCCTTGGTCAGTATATAGTGTGTAGGGCATTAGTCCTCAGAGATTTGCTGCCGTATGCCCCGATGTCACTGTGGATATATTTGGACCCCTATGTGCATTTTAAGTTTCCATCACATTTTATTTTGATCATAAGTTTAAATAGTTGCAGAGGCCATCCTTGGTATTTTCTAAGTGAATATGTGCTTTCTGTATGTTTCTTTCAAAATCCTAGAGTTGCCAAGTTAGCTTATTCAATGTATTATGAGTCTATTCTCTTATCTATTGCCCAAGTTTGTCCTGGTGGCCAAACGAACCAGTCAAGTAAGGCGATTTCTATCAGAAACAAATGGCCTGCCCCCATTGCCTGCGTTAATCCCTGTTCCTGCAGCAGGCATCCTGCTTTTGATTTTAACCAGACAAGTGAGACAGGAGCCCTGGCACGGTGGGCCTCCCGATGGAACAGTGGCAGCCGCTTCCTCAGATGGTTCTGGGCTTTATTCTCCGGTGCCCTGTGCACTCGGGGGTAGTCCCCTCGGTGGGCCCAGAGCTGTTTCCTCGGGGGCATCGCACCGCAGTGGAGTGCAGACCTTGACCTCACGCGATGGTGACGGTGTGGGGAGGAGCCCTCCATCGTTCGTTTTCTCACACCGGCCTGGGGCTGGAAACCCGGAAAGTGGTTTCTTTGACGTGTTCTGTTTCCACACTGTTTGGCGAGTCTTTGTCTCGCCCCAGAGCACAGACACCCCAGAGCGGAGACGTCTGGATAAGAAACGTGCCACCTGCCCGGGTCCGGCATCGGGGCTAGGGAAGCAATAGGGCAGGAGTGAGGGGAGCAGTGAGGTTGGGGATTGGGAGGAATCGCCTTATTCTTCTCAGTTTGAGTTATTAAAAGTAAATAAACTATTGCAGAAAATTGTAAGTAAAATAATAAAGCAAGTTTTTAAAAAGGTATTGTTCATCGCGAATAGCATGGGCAAATAGAATACCACTGTTGGAGAATTAATGTTGAGTGATATCCTGTTATTCTTGTCAGGGTGACCGTGGAGACCCTGGACCCGCGGGTCTGCCAGGCTCTCAGGGTGCCCCCGGCACTCCCGGCCCCGTTGGCGCCCCCGGAGACGCAGGACAGAGAGGAGACCCGGTAAGGAGAGGCCATTTCACTGGCAGCGACTGACATCGATGCTCTGCATTAGGAGCTACTTGGACGCATGCGTACAGTCACACATGTGCCCTTGACTAGAGCTACTTGGTTACATATGTACAGTCACTCATGTGCTCTTGACGAGAGCTACTTGGACGCATGCGTACAGTCACACATGTGCCCTTGACTAGAGCTACTTGGACACATGCGTACAGTCACACATGTGCCCTTGTCTAGAGCTACTTGGACACATATGTACAGTCACCCATGTACTCTTGACTAGAGCTACTTGGACGCATATGTACAGTCACCCATGTGCCCTTGACGAGAGCTACTTGGACGCATGCGTACAGTCACACATGTGCCCTTGACGAGAGCTACTTGGACGCATGCGTACAGTCACACATGTGCCCTTGACGAGAGCTACTTGGACGCATGCGTACAGTCACACATGTGCCCTTGACGAGAGCTACTTGGACGCATGCGTACAGTCACACATGTGCCCTTGACGAGAGCTACTTGGACGCATGCGTACAGTCACACATGTGCCCTTGACGAGAGCTACTTGGACGCATGCGTACAGTCACACATGTGCCCTTGACGAGAGCTACTTGGACGCATGCGTACAGTCACACATGTGCCCTTGACGAGAGCTACTTGGACGCATGCGTACAGTCACACATGTGCCCTTGACGAGAGCTACTTGGACGCATGCGTACAGTCACCCGTGTGCCCTTGACGAGAGCTACTTGGACGCATGCGTACAGTCACACATGTGCCCTTGAGAGCTACTTGGACGCATGCGTACAGTCACCGTGTGCCCTTGACGAGAGCTACTTGGACGCATGCGTACAGTCACACATGTGCGCTTGACGAGAGCTACTACAGTCACCCATGTGCCCTGGCGAGAGCTACTTGGACACATGCGTACAGTCACACATGTGCCCTTGACTAAGACTCCAAACCAAGAATGACAAACAGTTCATTATGAGTTAATTTTCTTAGTCTTCGAGGCAAACATTTGATTTCTAATAGATATTCAAAAATTCTGATGCTTTGACTTTCACCACCTAAAATGTTGTGATTTATAGGAAATCATGTTAAATTTAAGCAAGTACTGCTTCACCAATTAATAAAAGTGATTATAGAGTGTCATTGGAGTGAGATGAGCACATCTTATACCAGGGACATTAGCCTGGTTTTCATTAATTAGCCAGAAGAGTATGCATAGGTGCACATAAACTTAGTAAATATCCAACCACAAATATGTCTTTTGAACTCTATATCTACATAGTATATGCACTTTTTTTTTTTACCAACTTTTGTGAAACTTTCTTCTAGGGTTCCCGGGGTCCCATAGGACCACCTGGTCGAGCTGGGAAGCGTGGCTTACCTGTAAGTTCTGTTTTTCTTTAGAAAATGATGTCTTCTTTCATAAAATACCCTCCCAAAGAAAAAGTACAATTTAAGGTTTATAAATTACCAAATTTCTCAAGCTATGAATTCTTTCAAATAATCAGTGAAGATTCTTAGAGTCACAGTTTTCTCCCAAAATAATAGGAATAACCATACCCTTCTTTCTGAGATTTTCTAAAAATCACATAATGGGTTTAAGAGCTCTCTGTAAGTTTTAAAAGCTGTCATCAATTACGTTTTATTTTCAATGAGATTCCACTGCCAATGTTCAATTCTTTTGCTACTTGCAGTTACTTCCAGGTCAGAGAGCCTTACCCAGATGTCTTACTGGGAATGAAGTATTTCTGTAAGCGGTCTCTTCTGTTCCTCTCACACCTGTTATATAAATCCATATCAATATTTATGAAGATCAATTGTAGCCTTAAAATCATGGCCTGTTATTAGATCACAGTTCTCAGTTTCGATTTGAGCCTGGCTAGAGAGGATTTTGTAGTTCCATAGCATGTTCAAGTCAAATGTTTTCTAGCCAGTTACAAAAACAATCTAGTTTCATTTTTCATGATTAAATGAATTTTAGTTAATAATAGCAAGTAGGTGCTTTCTGGTTTAGTTTATTTTCAATTATGAAATTTTGGAGCATTCCCCAAATAAAAGAACCTCTCTAACATTGTGAAAGCATTCAGGCTGATTTTAGTACTTAATATATTTTTATTGATTTCAGAGGGGAAGGGAGAGGCTTAGAAACATCAATGATGAGAGAGAATTACTGATCGGCCTCTTGCACTCCCCTCACTGGGGATGGAGCCCGCAACCTGGGCGTGTGCCCATACCAGGAATTGAACCATGACCTCCTGGTTCCTAGGTCAATGCTCAACCACTGAGCCACGCTGGCTGGGCTGATTTTAATATTTAAATTTACAACGTTTTATAAAATATAAAAAGTTACTGAGATTTAGTCTTGCTTTTATTATAAAAAGGTTTTCATACTGTTTGACAATTAGGATATCCAAATTTAAAAAAAAGAAAGAAAAAGAACCATACAAAAGAAGAACAAGAAACTGGTAAGGAAAAATATTACCTCAAATGCCCGTCTGTTTGGTGGTCTCTTTCATCCTCCAGTTCTCTTCCAGGAGAGCTGCCGACAGCACAGCTCCCCCACGTAGGCGACCTTGTCAGTTTACCATGAGCTCTGGACCAGAGCTGCTGTTGTCACCTGAGGCTTAAGAAACAGAAAAGAAAGAATGAAAGGAAAGGAAGAAAGGAGCCCAAGACTGATTAGACTGATCAGATAATTTTCACCTTTTCTCTCCTTGTAGCTTCTATCCCATAAGAAGATTCTTAATTATTGCTTTTCCTTTAGTTTCTCAGGATCAGAATTGATGCATCTACTCTCTTAGCAACTTTCCAGGATGACCAGTTTTTTAATATAGTCCCAGCTGTCATGTCCAGTTTATCTGCATATGCAAATTTAATAAGCATTTTCTTTTTAGAGGTAGCATAGTAAATAAGGACTCATGTTTTGCTTTTAAAGAAGCTATTTATGGCAGCAATATTTTTCACATAATAGCAGCCGAGTATGTGAAATACAGTCTTTGAAACTGTTTTAGATAAGAAAGACCAACTTAAAAATACCTCATTTTAGCCGAAACCGGTTTGGCTCAGTGGATAGAGCGTCAGCTTGCGGACTGAAAGGTCCCAAGTTCGATTCCGGCCAAGGGCATGTACCTGGGTTGCGGGGACAAAAAAAAAAAAGAAAAAAATACCTCATTTTAGTATAAATATAGGATAAACATTAAAAAACTCTTAGGAAAGCATTATTAAATACAGTATGTTTTAATTATTACCTTCATTCCAAAAGGCAAAAATTTCTAGGTCTGATTCCATTTATATAAGTTAATATGTTCATATACAGTGTAGTACTCAAAATAACAGTAAATACAATTGTAAAAGGTAAAATTGTAGGAAATTGTAGTCTCAACAGGCAATACCCACGCATGACCCTGTTTCTAGGGACCCCAAGGGCCGCGCGGTGACAAAGGCGATCACGGGGACCGCGGCGACCGGGGCCAGAAGGGCCACCGGGGGTTCACCGGTCTTCAGGGACTTCCCGGGCCTCCTGTGAGTAACTTCTCCGCCAGTGACCTGCCCTCCCTGTGAACATGCACAGCTGTCCTGACATGGACACTGTCGTAAAACGGATGGACGTTTTGTACCTTCCTGTCCTTTCAAAATAATGAGTTGCCCACTTGGCCACCGTCACTGCCACTTGCTAGCTGTGACTTTTAGGAAAGACATGAGCCCAAAGGGCATGTGCACCGTCCCTCCTGCGCGGTCCTAACTTCTGGGCAACTCAGGAAGACCTTTGGAGACATGACTGTGCGAGCAGTTGATGCAGCCGATGTCAGCGGCAGCGGATTTTAACCACCCGAGGCCGGCAGAATGCAGGACGGAAATATTTTGGTAACATTTTACATGTTTTTCCCACTTAGGGTCCAAATGGTGAGCAAGGCAGTGCTGGGATCCCCGGACCATTTGGCCCAAGAGTGAGTAACTCAGCTGGACCAGGTGTGAACGGCGATGTGTGCGGTGATGTCCTGCGAGAGCCCGAGTAGCATTTCATGGGTTGAAGCGAGAATTGCCCAGGTTCTCTGAAGCAGGCAGCCGACGCATGAGAGAAACCAGTCGGCAATCGCCTTTAAGTAGAAAGCCCTGTGCTATGACTTGGTATTTCATGGTCCCACATTAAACCTCCCTCCCGCGGTGAATGCACTCATCGATGGGGCCGTCCTTACCCCGTGCTCACTGACATGTCCGCTGCATCGCGCTCGTTGAGGTGACCTCAGAGGACTGCCGTGCATGGAGGCAGAGCTGGGTGTTCTGCAGCTGAAAGTGTTTTTTTAAGGAACTGGGGTCCTTCCTCAGAGTGTTTGGCTTAAGGCTGATTCAGAAGCAAATCATAAAATGAAACCAACATTTGTGGCTTTTAGAAATTCCACATTAGTATTCATGCCGCCCCTAATAGGTCATTATGTCATAACATAATTGACAGACATAATTGTTTAGGAAAATCATTAGAATTTCTGCTATGTCTAAATCTGGTATAAACTACACATTTTAGGAGAGTACTATTAGAATTGTTAGGATGTCATGAGATACTTGTATAAACACACAAACATAACTTTTTTAATCACTTCACCTTCTGCCTTTTTCTTACTCCTAGTTCACTGAATTTATAACTGAGTTTACATGAGATTTGACGAAATAGTCCCAATAATAATGAAAGTAGATGACAAGTCCATTAAAGGTTTTAACTGCTCCTGGTCTTTTATGTGCACGGATGAAAATTGATGTGCGATGAAATAGTAAAGTAGGAATGTTCTGGAACTCGATTCGTTAGTCATTAGGATCTGAATCTGAGAAACTGCTGTGATAGTCCATCAGGAAAAGGGCTCTTTGTTTAGAGAAGGGCGCTGTGGGAGTTTTCTCAGAGAATCTAACATCCAGTTTTGTTTCTCGCAGGGTCCCCCGGGCCCAGTGGGCCCCTCAGGGAAGGAAGGAAACCCCGGGCCGCTGGGCCCCATCGGGCCTCCTGGAGTGCGGGGCAGCGTCGGGGAGGCGGGCCCCGAGGTGAGTCACAGGGTGTGCCTGCTAAGGCTCTGCTGGTCCTCACGCCCGGGGCCCAGCCGAGGACGGTTGTGCAGCCGGTGGACGAGGGACAGAGGGACTCTGAGAACAAACCTAAAAGTCACAGGAGAGCTTGTCTGTAGAAGTAACTTTCAGCTCTTTAATCCAGATCGTCCAGAGCCTGTAAATCAGAGTCCAGCTTGCTGGGCCTCCTTCCATGGGCACCGATGAGAGCAAGGGGCACGGCGTGCTGTGTCCTGATGGAGTCGGGGAAAGTCGCTTTGCCTTCATGGCAGGACACTGAGTGTGAGGTAGATGAGTATAGTTGCTCCTGAAGATGCTGCAAAGTGAAGAGTATGAAATCTAAGCTTTTCTCTAATGCTAATGACATTAGGAAGGATTTCAATTAACATTTTCATCACAACGTTCCAGTAGTGCCGACTTGAGGGTTTTGTAAAGTGTGTTAGGCTCTGGCTCCTCGGGCTGTTGGGACCCTCCTCATCTCTCTTCCTCTTCAGTCTGATTGACCTGTCCCTCTTTATTCTGACTCTGCCCCTCACTGGCCATTAAACTGAATATTTATTACTTATTTTATGAAATGAAAAGCCTTATGTTTCCCATGGTCCAGAGGAATATTCCCTATTATTTCTCTGTGGGCGGAAAACAGCCGGAAGTGCCATTCCAATGACTTAATGGCCCTCCAGGGACTTTATGTGGCGGTTCACTCGTCCTCGCTAGGAAACACCTCCTGAGATTGGTGTAAAGGAACTCACGGGCCATGATGTGATCTTAAAGTGAACCCAAAAGGTTTCCCAGGCTCTTGAGGTGAGGAAAGGTTGAAGCAACTTGTCCAGAGCCAGCTCCTCAGGGGTGGACTCCAGCCTTGTCTGCCAGCGGGAGCTCCCAGGTGAAAGGTGACCACACATCTTCCAGCTTCTGGGCTGATTCTTTGGTTAAGGGAAGGGCTAGAGAGCCTGGCCGGTGTGGCTCAGTGGTTGAGCATCGACCTATGAACCAAGAGGTCACGGTTCCATTCCCAGTCAGGGCACATGCCCAGGTTGCAGGCTTAATCCCCAGTGTGGTGCGTGCAGGAGGTGGCCAATCCATGATTCTCTCTCATCGTTGATGCTTCTCTCTCTCTCCTTCTCCCGTCCTCTCTGAAATCATTAAAAATATTTTTTTAAAAAGGCTAAAGAGAACATTCTTAAATTTTGTTTAGCACACAGAATTTTGATCTACACATTAGTTTGAACACTTAAAAGACTTCCACCTTCCCCCTTATTTGAAAATAGGGGGCAGTTGTCTTGTGGGTGTTTGTTGTGGGTATGTCCTTGGTATTGACGTGCAATCTACAGAACTGGGACCCACAGCTTCTCTGCATCCGCCCTCTCAGTGTCTGTCACAAATCCTGTGAGACATTGTAGTTGGCCTTGCCCCCAGTCGTCTGGAAATGAATGGCCACGTCTGCATATTTAACATAAACTATATTCATCTTCAAGGTGAACATCAGAGCACACACACGGTGTTCTGAGCTTGCTGTAGCTCAGATGCCGACTTGCAGGCCTGTTGCCGGGGAGGTAGTTCCGCGTCACTCTCTCCCTTGGGAGGTTACAGGCTGGCAGGCAGAGCCCTCAGGTTAAAGGGCACGACTCCCAGGTCCCAGCACCGTCAGGCCAGGTGTAACTCCTTGGCACCAAGTCCCAGCAGTGCCTGGTGTCCAGTGAAAAACAAAACAACAAGTGTGTTCATGTGTTTCCAATGTTCTTACCCATCAGGGTCCTCCGGGCGAGCCTGGCCCACCTGGGCCTCCAGGTCCCCCGGGCCACCTCACAGCTGCCCTCGGGGACATCCTGGGGCACTACGATGAGAACATGCCAGACCCCCTCCCCGAGTTCACGGAAGACGAGGCGGCTCCTGACGACAAGAACAAGACGGACCCCGGCGTCCACGCCACCCTCAAGTCCCTCAGCAGCCAGATCGAGACCATGCGCAGCCCCGACGGCTCCAGGAAGCACCCGGCCCGCACCTGTGAGGACCTGAAGCTCTGCCACTCGGCCAAGCACAGCGGTGAGCGCCCGCGTCCCGGCCGGTTCTCGCTGCCCCCCGGCCACGACCACTGACCGCCTTCCAGACGTGTCGTGATGCCGAGAGAGGACACGGCCACCATGTCAGAGAGTTTGTGGGTTAGCGGGGGGGTGCGCCAATGCCATGAGGAACGGGGTGAGACGATAAATACTCTGAGAGAGGACACACCCTGTTAATGATCTGACCTCATCCTGGCAGTGCCGTTTCCATCCAGAAGTTGTACAGTGGGTGACTTTGTGGTGCTGCGACGTGGAGAACACTTGCTGAAGCAAGGCTGGCACTGCCCTACCTCCGTGACTTCCCAGGGGTTTAATCTGCTCACATGTATCATTAGGCCTTCAAGAGTAGAATGAAGTCTATTTTATTTCCCAGACTTATTTGATCATGAAATACCTTTCATGCAGTTTAATGTTCTATAAACACAGCTTTAAGGATCTCTGCTGGCAGGATTACATGTTAATACAAAGTATTTTGGAATTAAGTAGTCTTTCTGTCCTCGTTGTGTAAACCATGCCTTAAGTTTGCAGTATTCTGTCATTTTGATTAATCTAATCAGACCTGGAGAGAAGGGATTCTGGGCCATAAGAAGAAGCTGTGAGATGCTTAATAGCCCCAGTTAACTTTGAAATGACATTGGCAGGAAGAGCTGAAATGACCTGTGAGGACTCGGCAGTTCCATTCTCAGCTCTATACTTTACAGCCAGCAATGTCCCCACATTTTATTTAAAACGCAGTTTTTCCTACCTATTATGTATACACACATGTAAGTATACATACACACAGATAAATGCACAAATACGTATTTGTGTTTTTGACTCCGTGTCCAGCACCAAGCACCAACTTGGTATAACCTATTTCAAGTATCTCTCAGATATAATAGAGATCAATTCTAACTAGGGCCAGTGAGATCATTTATAACATTCTAATCACAGTTTAACTCATATACTTACTACTTCGATAGTTTTGACAATACATGCCTCTCATCATGTTTGAAGTTCACGTTTCTTAGCAAATATGTTTATTTTGGAAAACAGGCGAGTACTGGATTGACCCTAACCAGGGGTCCGTGGAAGACGCCATCAAGGTTTTCTGCAACATGGAGACGGGAGAGACGTGTATCTCAGCCAACCCGTCGAGCATCCCCCGGAAAACCTGGTGGACCAGCAAGTCGCCCGACCACAAGCCCGTCTGGTACGGCCTCGACATGAACAGAGGAGCTCAGGTAATCGCAGCCGCGCTTACAATCACATGTTTGCCCTTAACTCTTTATTACGCCTCAGGTTGTATTTAGGACCACGTTGTTATTTTTTGACCAGATTTATTTTACCATGTTAATTTTAAAGTCATATATTCTCATTAGTTGCCATTGCTGTATCATTGCATAAACAAAGTTTTAGTATGAATTAAATGAACATAAATTTTGCATGGTGATTTTTTTCATTGGTGGGATGTAGGAAGTAATTATTTTTGTCATCAGTTCCTTAATGCCTGTCACACTGACTGTGAGGTATACGTGAAGGGGTCTGGCCCCTTGAAGGACAGGAGACCCAGGTGACTGCTCCCTGGATGGGGACAGCAGGACACCACTAACCTTCCAGAGCCTCAGGCTCTCATTGTGAAGCGTGGGTGACGATATCTATTTCATAGTCTTTGTGTGAATATAATGTCCTTACTATAGTATCCAATACCTGATAAGTTATCTATAATAATAAAAGTGTAATATGCTAATTAGGCCAGACAGCCTTCTGGACGACCTTCCTGATGAAGCCAGGGCTGTGAGGGAAGCCCAGGACCCGGGTGCCAGAGGGAAGCTGGTGCTGGCAGCCGGGGGAAAGAAGGCCTACTCTTGCACGAATTTTGTGCGGGGGCCTCTAGTAAATAAATATTACATAATTACTACAAGCATACATAAAATTAAATGACTTTAATATAGTATTGCTTAAACTGAATGTATTTTCATAATGATATGAAGTCTATTAGTATTTTTATGAGTATATGCTTCTTTTATGGCCTAGTATTTAGACCAGGGGTGGGCAAGCTTTCTGACTCGAGGGCCACAATGGGTTCTTAAACTGGACGGGAGGCCGGAACAAAAGCATGGATGGAGCGTTTGTGTGAACTAATATAAATTCAAAGTAAACATCATTACATAAAAGGGTACGGTCTTTTTTTTTTTTTTTTTTTAGTTTTATTCATTTCAAACGGGCGGATCCGCCCCGCGGGCCGTAGTTTGCCCACGGCTGGTCTAGAATCTCAGCCAGCCTTGCCACCTCCTGCCGCAATACGATCTGCATTTCATTCTGGATCTCTTTGCAGCACCCGAGCTCTGAAATGTCCTTCTCACTCTGCTCCTGCTCTCTCCTCAGAACTCATGTTCATGATAAACATAACGTGAGCATATTATGGGTCTGAGTAATTTATACCAGAATCTACCATTATTTAACGAGCAGAAAAAATTTAAATGTACCCAATCAGAAGGTAATTCAGTGAATATAATATTATGTAAAGAGCTCAAAAGGGAGCATTGAAATAAGCCTCAGAGAAGATGAATGAGAAAGAGCCTGAAGGAGATCATTTTGATTATTTGTTCTTGTTAGCTAATGAAAACCTGTGACTCATGTTTCCTACCACACATAACAGTTGGGTTAAAAATATTTTATGCTGCCATAGCTGGTGTGGCTCAGTGGATAGAGCATTAGCCCTGGGACCAAAGGGTCCCTGGTTTGATTCTGGTCAAGGCACGTCCCTTAGTTGCAGGCTCAATCCCTGGCCCTAGTCAGGGCGCCAGCAGGAGGCAATCAGTCGATGTGTCTCTCTCACATCAATGTTTCTCTCTCTGTCTCTTCCCCTCCTTTCCTCTCTAAAAACCAATGGAAAAATATCCTCAGGTGAGGAGGAGTAACAACACCAAAAATACTTTATACAAGTAGTTAAGTCCTAAATCTTAGTATAATTAATAATAAAAACAATGAGTTATTTTTGATTCATGATTAAATACCCAAGCCAATGTTCAGGTACATAACTTCTTCTAAAAATAATATTCCAGAGATTTAAAAATACATAAACTTTCTCTGATGAGTGTAATGATCAATGGTTTCTTCCCCTGCTGTTTTGGGGAGTAAGGCAGAGGTTTTTACTGATGAACAGTCATTAACATTTTAAGGTGCTTTTTTAAAGTAGAATATTCTGTTACATGGCAGAATAAAAGTAATACTCTTCAAAACTGATTTACCTGAAATCACACACACACACACATTCTCTCTCTCTCTCCCCCCCCCCCCCACACACACACACACTCATACATGGCACTGTAAAACCCTTCAGAACTGCATGTAGCAAAGACTCCCTTTGTCTTCCTAGTTTGCTTACGGAGACCACCAGTCACCCAGTGCAGCCATCACCCAGATGACCTTCCTGCGCCTCTTATCAAAAGAAGCGTCGCAGAACATCACCTACATCTGCAAGAACAGCGTCGGCTACATGGACGACCAAGCGCAGAACCTCAAGAAGGCCGTGGTCCTTAAAGGGTCAAACGACTTGGACATCAGAGCGGAAGGAAATGTCAGGTTCAGATACATAGTCCTTCAGGACACTTGCTCTGTAAGTACTTCTGTGCTCTGCTGATCTGATGAGAGAAAAAATTCATTTTTGCTAGAAATACTGTTATGGCACCAACAGTAGGGACAGTTGTACCCTGTGTATAGACATAGGAGTCTGTCTGTCATTCTTTAGGGTAAACTTGAACGTGTGCTAGGGCATGAGGCAGGTCCACACACATGTTAATGTGAAACAGCGAGGAAGGGCTGACTCGTTGGAACCTGATCTAGCTCTTCTGCAAGTTACTTTTTTTAATCTCAGTCTCATGCTTAAACTTTCTTGATTCTAAAATGTATAATCAAGCTGAGGTAGGTTCTAGTTTTTACTGATTTGTATGTCTCCCTACGTGCATATCTAGTTATGAAAAAGGAAAACATTAATGATGAATTATAGTTCCATGTGAAAAGTAAATAGGCCTTCATCATTCACGTTGTCAGTGCCCGTTCGGGGCGTTTCAGGAGAACGCAGGGCAGCTCCTGGGTTGGAAGTGTGGAGGCACGTCTTCCAGGCCTGCCGACCTCACTGTGGGCGGCGCTCTCAGCTCTAAAAACATTGCTTGGACTCATATGCTATGACAGCTGGCTCAGAAGTGCTGCCAGCACCTCTGCAGTCACTCATTCACACTGTTAACCCGCTGCACCCTTCACTCCTAGAAACGGAATGGGAATGTGGGCAAGACCGTCTTTGAATACAGAACCCAGAACGTGGCGCGCTTGCCCATCATAGACCTGGCCCCCGTGGATGTTGGCGGCACCGACCAAGAATTCGGCGTCGAGATCGGGCCAGTTTGCTTTGTGTGAAGCAGCCGTGGCCCGTTGACAGCGAGCAACACCCTCACCATCCATGGCCCCACCGGTCGCGAGAACCTGGCCTGCGTGAAGCTGATCCTGAGACTCTTGAAGTGGCGGCTGGCTCCGGGCAGCCTGTACAGACGGTCTACGTGCCTGGCCTTAGCTTTCAGAATATTTATTTTACTTACAGTCCTCGAGTGTCCACTGAGTTAAAGGATTTTTCAATACAGAAGTTTGGGTGTAAGACGACCAATGACAATGACCACCTTTAAGAAAAAGTAAACAGATTGAATACATAGTCTTTGTTTTCTTCAGTTTATTTCAATGTAATGATAAAGTTGCTTAGTATTTATGAGAAAACTCTTCTTCCTGGCCGGTAGCTCAGAGAGTGGGGTCTGTGACACCACAGCACATGTTTCTCTCCCGTGGCTGCAGTTGGACAAATAGAAGGTGGTGCCTTTTTGCGACCTCTCAGACCCGATGATCAATTAAAAGTGAAAGATGATCAATCAGGGGTTGACCTTGAGTTAGAAACCCTCGTGCATGTCTTGATATTGTATAACTATCAGAGACTCTTTAAAGAGAATCATGAAAAAAATGGTTCCTCACTGTTTTAAATGGACTTTTTAAATAATATATATTCAGTGAAATTTCTTAAAAACAAAGTGAACTTAGATTTTATAAAGGGTGGTAAGTGTAGACTTTTTCCTCATTCAGATTTAAAGATATCTTTCCCTCTTGACTTAGCCTATTAATACAGCTGGAAGTCACATGAGTAAACCATTGGGTACAGCACTTTCTTGTTTAAGAAGACATTGAATGCAAAACTTTCACACATACAACCTTATCAGCATGTCCAGGACTCAGAGCTGAGAGTCTTCCGATGGCAGTAGCATCGTCCCGAAGCCTGTAATGAAGAAAAGATTGTTTAGAAACCCAGCCGTGGAGCTGACTGATCGGATGTGATGATTGGAAATAGAACCATCTGGCCATTGAACTCTCTGAGGAAACATGACCAACATGTCTTAGCATGAGCTACCTCATCTCTAGAAGCTGGGATGGACTTACTATTCTTGTTTATATTTAGATACTGAAAGGTGCTATGCTTCTGTTGTTATTCCAAGACTGGAGATAGGCAGGGATAAAATGTATTGTTATTTTTCCTTTAATGATGGTGCTAAAAGTCCTCTATACAATTCTTTAAAAATAAAGATGGTTTCATCAGTGCCATCTGTGAAAGCCTTAGACGTGGCCATTTCTGAAAGAGGGGCCGTTGCTCTGGGCCTCCCCACTGTCCCCCTCACGCTGTATCTGGGATGCTTGTAACCTGCCTGCTTCCTAGTCCGAGCATGTTGGGCCTGTGTCTCAAGGTTGTTGTGTTTCCTTAATCGCATTGTGTTGGCTCCATTTTAATTTCTTCTTTAACAATAAACAGCTGGGACCATCCCAACGCCAAGCCACGCACACAGCTGTAGTCATGTATCTGCAGAGCATCGAATTAAATGCACGCTTTTGTCACGTCAATGGCTTTTGTTCCGTGGAATTCATTTGAGCGTATCAGACCCACTTCCTTTCCAGCAGTGGAAAGGGTGCTGTGGTATTCCTTGCTCACCGTTCATTTAAAAAGTAAATCAACAAATGTCTCCCACCGACTACACGCTGGCTCATGTATGGAAGTCCGGCCGCAGCATCACTCAGGAAGGGAAACTTGACACCAATAGCCCCTGCCTATGCCCCTAGGATCCCCCAGGGTAGTAGTATTGACAAAAAGAGAAAGCAGCTGATTTTTCATGTTTGAAAAAATGGTGCTAATAAAACACGTGTCTCAAAGTGCATCACATATGAACTTAGCCTAACGTTTTCAGAGTTATATTTCAATATTTAACAACATTGTTGTTCCCCAAATCGGTTTTGACTTGTGATCTACATCTTGAATTTGAATATTTATATCCCTAAAGACATCTGTGAGTTTGTCTGCATTAAATCTTCTTTCAAGATAACTTATACAGGCTCAGTTCAGGTAGATGAGCCAGAAACATACGGTGATTCTCTCAAGTCAAAAACACTTATAATCTCCAAATATAGAAATTCTAGTTTATACTTGGAACTCGGGAATGTTTGACAAATAAAAGGCAATTCCAAAGGCCCTGGGGTTTCTTGTCTGAGTTCTAGATCCACAGGTCCCATTAGACCAGTAGACTTCGTTACCTTCATGTAACACCTCAAACTCTAAGTGACCAAATCAAAACAATCTTCATCTGGGAGGATGGTGACATTCATTTATTATTAATTTATTAAAACTCCCAAATGGGAATTCCAGAAATCAACTGAAATGAAGAAAAAGGATAAAAATAGCAAAGAAAGCATAAACAATGCTGAAAAATTCCCTGACGTGTAACACAAAATTCAGCAAATTATGGCCAGGTACCATATAACTTACTCCAAATCGAAAAGAGATGCAAAGAAATTATAGGCAGCACCCCTTCTCACGAGAATGGTGTTATAGCAGAAAGCAAGTGAACAAAATCTGGAGAGAATAAATGATTCTAAGTACTGCACTGAGGGTCTCTGCCCCACTGAGTAAAGAGCACTGAACACAGTTTTCCTTTGGAATTATGAAGAAAAAGCTAATTTGGATCTGAGGCCCAACAGCAGCAAACCAAGGCAATGATGCTTCCATGAAAGCCGAAAGCCTGAGGAGCCTGGGGCAGGCCAGTAAGTTGATTTTTTTTTTTTTTATCAAAATGGGGTGTCCCCAAGCACAGCTTTTCTCTCAGCCTCCTTTATCAATGCATCATTTTATACAACATTCAAATGTCCGTATTCCCCGGGGATCAGTCTTTTCTTCATCTTCGCACTCAATACTCTCTCACCCCCGGCCTTTATCCACGCCCATGGCTTCAATTACTATCTACCTAGCAAAAGCTTCAAATGCATGCACACAGCCCAAATCCTCCTCGGAGCTCAGGAAATGCATGTGTAAATGTTTCACCATCTTCACTGGGTCGCAGAGGTACCTGTAGATCAAAATGCTCAAGAAAATGCACATTTCTGTCTCAGAGCTGATTGATGGCCTGTGAGCCCTATTTCGGGCAACAGCCTCCTCCTCGTCCATCTGTTTAGGCCAGAGACCTGGAGTGAGACTTGGCACCTCTCTCTGCCTTGCCTTGCCAGAACCCTGGCATGGCATGTATTTTGAGTTTTGCCTCTTCAATGTTCATGAAGGCCATACCCTTCCCTCCATTTCTACTGCCACTGTCCTAGTCCACGTTATCATCGTTTCTCACCTGGGCTCCTTCAACAGCCTGCAAGTAGGCACCCATTCTTGCCTCTTCTGATGCATTCTTCCCATGAGAACCAGAGCAAATCTGAAATGTAAATCTGAACATCTCACCAGACTCGACCCCACAACCCAACACAATGCATACGCAGGACACCTTAAAAGCTTCCGTGGTCTTTTCTAGGATGAAGTCAGGCATCCTGAAGCCCTATGGAGCTCTGGCAGGCCCTGAGCATGTATTTTCCCACCATCTGCCTTCCTCTCTGCTCCACACACAATGGGCGTCTGTCTCATTTCCGAGAAGCCAGATTTCCACTCCTGTCACAGACCGTTTGATGGGTTTTCCTTGGCTCAGTTTACTGGCACTCACCTTTCAGTGCCCTGCTCCGCGCTACCTCCACACAAACCCTTCCTAATCTCCACACCTTTCACAGCCCAGGGTGACATCCCCTGTTGTCAATGTTCTTGGCAGCTGTACTTGTCTTTGCAACCGAGGATGCTTCACACAGTTGTAGGATTACTTGTTTAGTTCCACTCTTCTCTATTAATTGTATTTGTTACAAGGGCAAGACTATTTACAAGGATCCAACATACTGTTTGTTATTTGTGTTTGTTCAAAAGACATTTAAGTGAATTATGAGAAGTTATATACTATGTAACTAGAAAATTATGTTTAGAGAGCATTTATACTTGATTTATGTACTAGTGTGAAGCAAGCATTCCTATTGTATTATTATTACTGTTTCTATTAGTATTATGAATATGAATATCCAAATTTATATGGAACCAAAAAAGACCCCAAATAGCCACAGCAATCTTGAGAAAGAAGAACAAAGTTGGAGGGATCACAATACCAGATATCAAGCTGTATTACAAAACAGTCTGGTACTGGCACAAGAACAGACATATAAATCAATGAAACAGAACACAATCCAGAAATCAACTCAAGCCATTATGCTCAATTAATATTTGACAAAGGAGGCTAGAACATACAATTGAGTCAAGACAATTTCTTCAATAAATGGCCTTGGTAAAATAGGACCGATACGTGCAAAAAAATGAAACTACATCACCAACTTACACCATACACAAGAATAAACTCAAAATGGATAAAAGACTTAAATGTAAATAGTGAAACCATGAAAATCCTAGAAGAAACCATAGGCAGGAAAACCTCAGACATCTCTCATAGCCATATATATATATACAGATACAGCCCCTAGGGCAAAGGAAACTAAGGAGAAAATAAACAAATGGGACTACATCAAAATAAAAAGCTTCACAGCAAAATAAACCATCAACAAAATAAAAATGAAGCCCACTGTATGGGAGAACATATTCACCAATGATACATCTGATAAAGGTTTAATATCCAAAATACATAAGAAACTCATACAACTTAACAAAAGGAAGACAAATAATTCCATTTAAAAAATGGTTAAAGGATCTAACTAGACACTTCTCCAAAGTGGACATATAGATGGCCAAGAGACATGAACACAATGCTCAAAGTCACTGATCACCAGGGAGATGCAGATTAAAACTACCATGAGGTATCACCTCACACCTGTCAGAATGGCTACCACCAACAAACGACAAGTGCTGGTGAGGATGTGGAGAAAAGGGAACCTTAGTGCAGTGTTGGTGGGAATGCAGGCTGGTGCAGCCACTGTGGAGAACAGTATGGAGCTTCCTCAAAAAATTAAATATGGAACTGCTGTTTGACCCAGTGATCCCACTTCCAGGAATATATCCCAAGTGACCTGAAATACCAGTCAAAAAGAACATATGTGTCCTATGTTAATAGCAGTGCGATTTATAGTAGCTAAGATCTGGAAACAGCCCAAGAGCCAATCAGTAGATGAGTGGATAAAAAAGCTGCAGTACATTTACACCACGGAATACTATGCAGCTGTAAAAAAGAAGGATCTCTTACCCTTTGAGATAGAATGGAGGGACCTGGGGAGTATTATGTTAAGTGAAATAAGTCAGAAAGCCAACTATCACATGATCGCACTCATATGTAGAATCTAATAAACAAAATAAACTTATGAACAAAATAGATCTAGAGACATAGAAGCATAGAACAGACTGGAATCTCAACAGGTGGGGAGGGTGGGTGAGTGGGAAGAGATCAACCCCAAAACTGGCATGCGTGTCTGCATCCCCCACGGACACAGACAATGGGTGGTGCAGGCCGGGGCGGAGTGTGGAGGCGGGCTAGAAGGGGTCAATGGGGGAAAAGAGGGACATACCTAATACTTTCAATAGTAAAGATTAAAAAGAAATAAGAATATCATAGATGAAATGATTCTATTCACAATGACAATAGCAACATACAACACTAAGTGCTATGCATGACAAGAAATTTGTAGAACCTGACTGAAAAAACCTGTAACATTGAGATATATAAAATAAGATAAAAAACGGACTAAATGTGCCTATTGTCACGGGGAGAAACTCGATATTTGAAAAATTCAATTCTTTTTTCTAAATTAATACAGAAATTAATAATTCCCTCCCTATAGGATTTTAAAAACATGGAACATGACAAAAACACTCTAAAGCTCATTGGACTAAAAAATACGCAAGAAAAGTGATAAAGGAATCTCCCCCTAAAAACACACACACACACACACACACCCAAAAATGGTGAGTTAAGATGGGCCACTGGCCCATGTAGATATAAAAAAATAATTAAAAAGCTACTTCCCATGGTAAAAGAAGAGTATTTAGAAGTGAATCCATGTATCTGTATAGAGTTTAATATGTAATTAAATTAATTCTCATTTATTTAGTAAATGGTAGTACAGAAACTTACAGATATTTATCATTTTAAAGCATGTTTCCTTTCTTAACCTTTGTACCAAAACCTTTCCCAAATGGACTCAATATTTCAGTTTTAAAAAACCTCTAAATATATTACCACAAAATATTTTGAGTAGTTTTGTAATCTTGGAATGGGAATGAAAACAAATATATAAGTAATAACATAAAAGGTTGGAAGATTAGATTCTAAAATAAATTTTAAATATATATTATAAAACTCTTAACAAGCATGCTTGCAACCCATGCTCAAACTGGGAAAATTTCTGTAATAAAATATGACAGAAAAGGTTTAATATACTTTATCTTAGGAAGCAATAAGAAAGAAATGAAACATGCAAACTTCTATGTAGATAACTCACAAAAGCCATAATATAATTATGCCAATAAACATGTGGAAGATATTTATAGAAATGAA